GCCTCGGTTTTTTTTTTTTTTTTTTTTTGGCGTGCGAGATGGGGGTGGGAAAAAAATTGAGCTTGTATGTGAGATTGGTCGTTGAGCCGAAGCGGGAGTCGGCTTTGCAAGGTGTTGGGTTCAAGGGGCGCGTGCGGTTGGGTTTCGGAGGGCATCCTGTCAACCAACACATTCACGATGGCCGGGTATGCGGATCTGTCGTCGGTGAAGCGCCAGCTGACGATCAAGACGGGCGTGGTTAAGCGGTAGGTCTCCGCTCCTCCTTTGCTTGACATTTTTCCGATCCTGACGGTGTTTTGTCGCGTGTAGATTGGCGAAAGAGGAGTCGTCGTACATGCACGAGGCACGCGAGCAACAAGTGCGCATCCAGCAATTCATCGATGCAGGTCGTGACGAGTACGACCTCAAGCAGCAGGTAAGCCCCAACCCCCACCGACCTCGAAGCGGAGAAGAGGAGAGAGACTGATGACGCTGGCCAAAGTAGAGGTCGGTGTTGAAGGATTCGCTCAAGATGGTTCCCGACTGCCGCAAGAGGCTCGAACTCGCGGTCGACGATCTAGCCGTCTACATCGTAAGTCCCTCCCACCACACGACTGAAGGGGAAGACGAGGGAGACTGATCGCTTTTGTTTGGCTGAGAGTTAGGATGGTGTGGAGGGCGAGGCGGTTTCGAGCGACGAGTACGGTGCTGCCAAGCAGGTGCTCGAGTTGGCGCAGGCACAGATTCAGTCGCCCCTACCCACGCTCTAAAACCGCAATCATATTCATTCGCACCGTAAAGAGGCAGCAAAGGGTGATGTCCTGCGGCACAAACAAGACGCCGAGGCAGCGCACTTGCACAAGGTGCACCATCGACACGATGATACTCTTACATTCTTCGGGGCGCACATCCTATACGTGCGCGCCGGGGGACACGGGCCGAGGTGGTACAATCGTTGGGACGAATACTAATCGGAGCCAAGGCCAAAGGTGATACAGAAATTCTACCGAGCTTGTGGAATGCTTGCCAAGGAAGAAACGTAGCGGTGCAGATGTGGAAAACGGCGTAGCAGGGAGGTCAAAACGGTGCATGCGTAGCAGAAAGACTTAAAAGAGCGCGGCAGGACAAGTTGGGGGGATGGACTGTGTGGGGGTTGGTTTCAACGGTTGGCGTTGGTGGGCGTGGCATCCTTGGTGGCTGTGGGAGCATCGTCCCGGTTGATCAGGAGCGACGATTTGGTGGGCAAGTCGGCTTTGCCACCGACAAGTGGCGAGTCGGACGGGCTGAAGGGGCTGAACATGAACGCATTGGGGTCGCGGTTGTAGCCGCGCGCAAAGGGATCCGATCGTCCACTCGCGTTGTTCGCAGCCTCGAACCCGTTAGCGTGCGGTCGGGCCTGGGCAGCCTGCAGCCGCGCCGCAAGCGCAGCGCGCGTGTTCTCGTCAAAGTCGAGTCCGGCAAAGGCGTCCACGAGCTCCGACTCGGAGAGCGCGCCGTCGTCGTGCGAAGCATGCGTTGCAAACGGCGGCCTACCTCGCGGAGCGTCTTGCGCGCCCGAGCCAAAGCCCATCGATCCTGCCTGCTGCCCTCCGCGCGGGTCAAAGTCAAAGCCGTGGTTCGAATGCGAGCTCGAGCTGCCGCCGTAGCCAGCAGCGCCGGCTTCGTTCATACCTACACTCGGTGGACCCGCGTGCTGGGTTGAGCCGAAGCCACCGGATCCGCGGAACGGATGCTGTTGCGCATGGCCAGGCGCGTGGTGCGAAGGCGCATGTGCTTGATCGTGCGGCGAAGACGGCTGCTGCTGCAGGAAAGGCGGCAGAGGACCTCGCGGACCCAAGCCGGCCACGTTGGGGCTGCCACCCACCATGCCAGGGCCGCCGCCAAGATTGGCGGCCGCAAGCTGGCGAGCGAGCGTAGACAGCGGGTCGTTGGCAAGCGCCGGGTTGCCTGGGCCGTATGCAGGTCCTCTCTGCGCCTGTGCCTGCACCGCACTCAACGCACTCCCGAGGCCGGCGAGCTGGGCCAGCTGCGACGGACTGAGCGTGCTGAGCCCGGCAAGGCCGGCGAGCTGACCGAGCTGTGCGTAGTGCGCCATGGTCTGCGCCGCTGCCGCCGCTGCCTTGTCGCCCTGGCTGCGACCCCAGCTGAGACGGATCTTGGAGTTGAGGATGGGGAAGCCGTTCATGCGCTGAATCGCGTTCTCGGCGTCTTGCTTGCGGACGTACTGCACGAAGCCGCAGCCCTTGCCGGGCGGGATCTTGACGTAGGTGATCTCGCCAAAGTGCTCAAAGTATCGTCGCAGCGTCGACTCGGAGATGAGCGACGAAAGACCGCCGACGAACACGGTGGTGTTGTTGGGATCCGCGGCGCTGTCGCCTGGATTGCCGCCTCCGCCTCCGCCGCCCTGGTGAGGGAGCGGTGGCGCCGAAGAAGGCGTGTGCGAACGGAGCATGCCAGCGGGCGACGAGTCTCGAGTGCCATCGCCGCCGCCGCCGTTGGGGAAGGAGCCGTAGAGCTGTCCGAGAGGCGGGCCCATCATACCCTGGCTGTTGGCGGCGCTGTTTGGGCCGTCGTATGGCGAGGCAGGCGAGATCGGCGAGGTGAGCGGGATGCCGTCGGGCGGACTCGACTGGTGTCGTGAATGGGGCTGAGGCGACACCACTTCGCC